CAGGAAACAGGAAGAAACGGCAGGAAACAGGCAGAAAAACGAGGCCCAGACGAGTCAGGAAAGCCAGCAGAAGGGCGCCTGCCTTGCTCCCGCTCCGCCTCCGCCTGCAGCTCCTCCTCCCAGCCGTCTGCGTGCGTCAGCTCCAGCTGGTTCTGCTTCAGCCGGCGCTCCAGCTGCTCCAGCTGCTCCAGCTGTTCCAGCTGCTCCAGCTGCTCCAGCTGTTCCAGCTGCTCCAGCTGTTCCAGCTGTTCCAGCTCCTCCACCCCCTCTGGGTCCCAGATGGCCGCCGACCACCTCCCCTGCTCCAGCCGCTCCGCTTCTCTCTCCAGAGATTGGATCTGGACCTCCAGGTTCTGCAGCCGGCTCTGCTGCTGCAACACCTGCCTGAACACCTCCTCTTTTGAGGGGTCCCCGGAGCCGGGGGGGTCCCGGAAACAGACGGAGGGGACCCTGGCCTCAGGCGGCGGCGTGGGGGCCGGTGACCAGGCCCGGCCGGGTTTGGCCCTCCTGGGAAACGTGGAGGGACCCAAACTGAAGCTGAGGGCCTTCGGGGGACCCGGTTTGATTGGATCTGGCCCCGGGGGTCTGAGCAGGAGGGGGGGCAACCGCTCTCGGGGGCTCGTGTGCGGACCCTCGCTGGTGCTGGGCCCCGTCCTCTGCAGGACGAGCCGGGCCTCGGCGGCCAGCGGCCCCAGCCGGGCCAGACGCTCCAGGGGCCGCTCGGGGGGGCCCAGAGCGCTCTGGCTTCCTCGTAAGTTCAGGAGGAGGACGTAGCGGCCTGTCTGACCTGAAAGAGCCGTGTTAGAACCGGACTCTAGTCAATTCCTTTAGCATTGTATGCTATCACATAATAAATGTAAATGACTGATTGTCTTATTCCTTTTAGAACTACACTTTTGGGTTAAACTCTCTGGCTGTGCCCACAGATTCTGCTTCTTTCTTTGTTGCAATAGATCCACGTATAATGCCAAATGTATCATATTTGATACACACGGTTTCTGAAGTCTTTTGGATCTGAGACTTTTTGCATCATTCAGTGGTAAAAGCTTTGCTCAAACCCCTGTTGTACACATTCAGATATACCTGATAACAGCCAGTAGAAGACTACACCAAAATATATTTTGGACTTACTGCACTCTAATTTGATCAAAATAATTTCTGTTTTTTTTTCTTCAGAAGTTGTTGAGGGGCCAAAGAAAGACTTCAGACTAAAAAAATCCAATATTCTTCCTATTTTTCTTGGATCAGGCTTTAAAGGGTTAAGGTCAACACACACACACACACTTTTTTTTATCACATTCCAATGACATCTGCATGGACTTCTCATGTCAGAGCTAACTGGCCAATAACACTCAGTTGTGTCCAGTCCTCCTATTGAAGGGGCAGAATCAGCCAAGAAGGTAAATGTCCATCACACCTGGATTTTGGGGCCGACTGAGACCCTCTGGGAGCTTTGTGGGTCAGAGCCCAACACTAATTTACTCTACCTGTGACCAGTAAATGTCATATTTATACTCTTGATCTACTCTGGTTTAATCTCAGGCCTCCAACCAAAGAATCGCGCGAACAGATGGATGAAGCTAAACATCTAAACTTCCAGATCCAGATCCTTCAACCTCCTGAGACCCAAAGCTTTTGTTTGATGTGTGTTTCTGCTTTTTTTCAAGATATCTGGGATTATAGGAGCTAATAAGTTTAATAACTAGACTTTGTCATGTTACTGGGTTGGGGTTATTTTTAAACTGACCCAAATTGAAGCTAAATAAAGCTTTTATTTGGTGTGCATTTTTGCTTTTTTCAAGATATCTGGGATTATAGGACCTGATAAGTCTAATAACTGGACTTTGTCCTGGTACAGGTAAGTTTTCTTCATATAGGCTCAATGGGTTTATCTTTAGATTTATATATATTTTTTACATATTTATATTCAAACTATGTTTATCTTTATATTATTTAGTTAATTAAATGCTAATGAGATGTTTTAGCAATTTGGTTTTGAGAGTCAAAATGACTTATTAACAACATTTTAATTCCAGAATAAGAACATGATTGGTATAAAATGTCTTAAACCAATTTCTTTTAGATTTCAAACAGTAGTGTCTACTGGCATCTGCTAGGAGGCCAAGAGATCAAAGGTCAAAGAAAAAAGAAGGTTCCTGATACAGAGAGGCAGAAATGCAGCATCCTCACATCAGAACAGGAAATCAGGAGGGTAAAAAATTAAGCTATTGTCTCGTTCTCTGCAGAACTGAGAAAAGATAACCTGTTTGAACTGATCTTTCTCTTTGGATCTTTCCTGCTTTTTGGCTCATTTTCACCCCCTCCGTATAACTGAGAATCAGAGGAGAATCAGACCTTTGTTCATTAAATTAATTTAAACGATAAAAAAGACACAAAGCTGAGCAGATGCAGCTATAAAAGCGACACAAAAAAATGGATATTCATGGCAGAAATGAGTGTTTGAGATCACCTGCAAACTGCTGTGAATGTGAGGCGTTTTCTTCCTAAAGTGGTGTGAAGAATAAAATGTATAGTCGTGCACAATGTGTGGAGGAAAATTCTAAAAGTAGATCTCAGTTTAAACACAAAAGCTGGTTTACATCATGCTCAGTTAGTAGCTAAGTTGTCTTTACAGGTTTGTTTCAAAGCATTTTTAGGAGTAAGCGTGGAGTAAAGCTTCTGCTGGAAAACGTACCGTTGGCTTTTGCCAGAGCGACGACGACCTCCTCACAGGAAGTGCTGGGCGAGAGGCCGCTCACCACCCTGAGCACGCCCTCCACCCACACCTTCAGCTCCATCCCCCTGCAGACACAAGCACACTCAGCTCAGGCCCCCCCGAAAGCAACACTCACACAGCACATCAGCACGCTGTGTTCAGGGACGGTGAGAAGTTCCCACCGCGGCCTTCGCTTTGGAAAAGTTACAAAGCAAAAAGCCCACAGAGGACTTTAGAGGATTTTTATCATTATTTTTTTCATGTTCTTCCTATTGAATGATTTCAAAGTGCAGCTTTTCAACGGCAACGTTCTTACAGAATGTTGGAAATATTAAAATTATAGAAATATTTAGCAAATCCATTTGACATCAGCAGCAGTGATCTCAACAGTCTTTGTAAGCTCTGATATTCCAGGCAGTTGCTGGTAGGAATAAGATTTCCTCCAATATCTAACTATTATGGTCTGCAATTTGAAATAAAATTCAGAGACAAAATTACCTTGTTTAAGACTATCTAAAAAAGTATTTTCTAATGACTTTAGAGGATTTTTGTTTCCATTTTGGCTTGATTAATAAACCTGAATGCCCACAGTTTTTAGTAAAAGGTTTCTGTGTCCGTGTTGTTAAATTTAACAACACGACTTCCTTCTGAAAGACTCAAATGTTTGATTTAGTTCAACTGAGTTCCTGGTTCATGTTTGTGTTGTTTCACTCCCGTAAGTTGGGTCAATATGCCATTTGGAGGAAAAGTCGACTTCTGGTCTGAGGGTTGGTGGTTCGATTTAACCGCTTAAATTAAGGAAGAATGCTCTGAAAAAGGCTGGATTTTTTCTGGGTAGATATCCACAACGGGTTTATAGCTTTTTGTCTACATGTTTAAGCTGTCCTGTATAAATGACTCTATTTTAATGGAATGTCCCATTAGATTAACTCATTACTAATAGCTCATTGATTACTAATGGGTTATTAATAACTCATCCTACAATCTGCATAAAAAATATTTAGATATTAAACACATTTAGCTGATTTTAGAGTAAAAGTAACATTTAGAGTTTATTCTCAGAGCTTTTGATCTGCTGTAAGAGCAGGAAATAAAGCCCTTAAATCTATTTTTTGTGACAGGGACTCCTTTTCTAACTTGAAGTGTTTCCTGCTTGTCCTCTCAGACACTTTCAGGTCTGATTTGAAGTCTCTGATCCACAGGTTTCAGGTTAAAAACAGACATTTTGTTTTACCTCTGAGGCCTAAAACCTGCTACTGTTATCCTACCCTCCCAGTCTTTTCTTTAACCACCTTTTTACACTATACTTTCTTTATTTTTTCATCTTTATTTTTCCTGAGGCCGCTCTGAACCAGGATGCTGGTTTCAGATCAGAGGAGGCTTTTCTTTGTGCTGTTCGGTCCCTTATTTCGGTCAGAGGCCTCTGACTCGGTTAGGTTGGTGGGAAAGTGTGCGTCCGCGCCGCCGTCACGTGTTTGCAGACATGCAGCTTTTCTGACAGCAGGAATGTGGCAGAACACGCTGACATTCCTGCTGGACACAGGCCCCGCCCACTCAAGAGCTCCACTCTCTGTTTACAAAGTCCCACCGATCAGCATCAGTTTCCCCGAAACCACCTGAACCATTTTATCCTCACAGAACAGGATCATTTCCAGCTGTTTTATGCACGTGAAACTGATTTTTTTTTTTGTCTGCTTACACAAATGTTTGTCTTAACAAAAAAGATCCCCAACGCTTCCATTATTTCTGCCATTTCAACTAAATAACTTTAATTTTAGGGCTTTAGCTGATTTCAAATCGTAACCCAGATCGGTTTACTTATTGTATACATTTAAATATTCCTTTGATAAGAATTTGTTTCTTTATGTCTGATATTAAGTCAAAAAATGACAAATTTATGATTTTTAACAGAGATTTTCAAGTTAATATTATCAAATCTGAAGGGTTTTATCTTATTTGAATATGAACCGCGTCTCTGCTCAGGTAAAACTCACGATATTTTGAAGTTTTAAACAGACTCACCTTAGATTAGCAGCTTCCTCTGGCTCATCGGCGCCTCTTTTTCCCGGTCGGGTACTCGCTCAGGCACTCACCTACACTCACTGCATCCGGGAAGGAGGCCGAGGAGGGAGGAGCAGGAGGAGGAGGGATGCTGTGGAATGCTGCCTGTCTGCTTCTGCTGCAGGAACCCTGATGTCAGTGTGTAACCAGCACGATTTTGCTCCTTTTTATCAGTTTTTTAAATGTTTAATTTACTCTGTCCGCTCTGGTTTTACTCTGAAAATGGGAAAAAATTCAGCTAAAGCTGCTGTGTGAGGTGGAGACTCCACCAACTATCTGAATAAAATCACACACATCCCCTTTTGGGTCACTTTTTATAGGCTGCTGCTCCAGTTTCAGCTCAGTTAGAGAGGGACTCTCCTTCCTTTGAGCCCGAACGTCACCATGAGACTGAAACCAGGCTCCTCCCGCCCAGAGTGAGAGATAAAAACCCAAAGGAGTGGCTGCCATCCTGTTCTTTCTCCAGATTGTCCACATTCCACTCCACTCGGCGAGTTGTGTCTTTGTGTTTGTGTTTGTACGGCTCCGCTCTGACGGCTTTTTCAGCTGTGTTAAATTACAACAAACACACAAAATGAGTCTAGGACCAGCCAGCAGCAGAGGGCTGCGACCTCAGGGAAGAGTTGGTCCTGGACACCCCAAAAACAAAGGCAATTACAGGACTTCTGTCAAAACTTCTGCATGTTTATTCCCCCTTTTTTTCTGTATTTCCTTTATTTTTATGATTTGTGGGTAGTTATGTGCTTCTTTTGTCTTTCTGGTTTTTAGTGTTTTCCTTCAGCAGATCATTCCTTTGGTTCTATATTAATAAGAATAATAATAAAACATTTTATCTGAAAGCTCCTTTCTCGACACTCAAGAACACTGTACAAAGATACACAAAAAGAAACAACAATAAAGACCAATAAAATCAATAAACAGACTGAGGCAATGGCAATGTCTTAGAATATTCTTGGTTAGTTTCTGTTTACTATTAAACCCTGTTTGTTATTCCTCAGTTTGCTCCTGTCAGCATTATTTCATCCCTACTTTGTTTTTTGTTCCATGTTAGTTTTTGCAACTTCTTAAGACTTTTGTATTCCCAGTTCAGGTCTCGGTGTTCTGACTTGACTGTGTGTTTTCTTTTTAGTTTTCTGAATGAATCTATGATAAAATCAGCCCCATCTTCTGTCAAACATCCAACAGGAGTGGACCTTACCCTCAGCGCAGTTTCTTGAATGAGCTGATGGAGAGGGGACAACAGAAACTCTACTTCCCGAGGGGGCTAAAAAGCCCAAAACGTCTGAGGGGCCGTTTATGGGTGGTGTAATACTGGCCAACCTGGCTGATTTGTACATATCTTTAAAGCCCTTTTACCTTCTTCAATTTTTCTACTTAATAAATGCTATTTTCAAAGTATTTTGTACTTCGTTTACAGCTGATAATAATTTCATTATATTATTATATTATGTTTTCATTATATTATGTGTCATTACATTATTATATTATGTGTAAAATCTGATTCTGAGTCACTTTGCTTGAAAATAATGAGTCTTGGTTTAATTTAGAATAGAAGTTCAATGTTTTTTCTGTCGTGTTTGTGGTTGAATGTGATTCTGAACGTTACCTGTTGCTCCTTTTGGAGATCTGAAAATGATTTAATGAACTTATTTTAAATTCAGGTGCACAGATAGAAAACCACTTGCTGATGAATCAGACTTTGTTACCAAATAAATCAGTTGCGATTTTGGGGAGTGTACAGCACAAAGAGAATTTTTAAAAACAAAATCGATTTTTTTTCCTTATGCATTCACTAAAAAAGGAAACATTGCTTATAGTGAGTTGATGGCTCCCTCTAGTGGCGGGATTATGATCTACACAATCTGATCATTCACTGTTTTTTCTTACTGAAGACTGTATGTCGTGAAAAATAAAAATCATTTTCCAGAGTTAAATAGGTATTAATTATAATAATGATTTGATATTTGATATGATCAATTATATGAAGACAAACTTGTTTATAAGAAGGCTAAACATATGATTGTGTGTATCCCCTCTCTTTTTAGTTTATAATACAACCGTTTCTGAAAGAAGATATTTATGAACATACAAAAGAAGTTTGTGACATGTGGAAAAAACTAAAGTGAAATTAGTTTATCTGCTTAACCTTGATTTTAAATGTATCAGCTTCTTAACAGGATCAGGTTTAGTACAGTTCATAATTGTTCATATTTGAATCAGGAAGAAACTAATGAGATAGGGAAAATCCTTGTGGACAATCAGGTCTGAAACTTCTTTCAGCTTATTTTTAAACATGATTTGTGTGATCGAGGGTTTAAACATGGTGAAAATATACTGAAACAGATGTTTAAAGCAGGCCCTGAAAAAAAACAGCATGCTGTTATTTCTGTCATTAAGACTTTGAGGGCCGCGCGCTCCCGCGTCAGGGACTCATTTCCCGGCGGGGACATCCACCCTGACGGGACACCTGTGGAGCGCGATGAGGTTTTGTGGGTCCTTTGTTTTCTGTGGATTGGAGAGGTTCAGACAGACCTTCAGTTCCTCTGGTGGCCACGGTGAGCTGCTCGTTCGTCCGTCCGGAAGAACAAATCTGCCAGGTCAGTCTGACTTCCGACCGTTATTTGGGGACGAACTGTGGCTAGCCAGTGTACATAGTGTATTTTTTTCTTTTTACTTTTAATTACCGTGTGTTTAGCTTGAATAGTCTTTGATGAAGTAATTAAATTAAATGACTTTGAGCTGAATGTGGCTGCACATTCTTAGCCCCTGGAATATAAAGTACAAAATAAGTGTCAGTTACCGAACATCACACCGTTAGCTAGGGACTAACTCTGGCTAGCTACAAATAGCTAGTCTACCTTGCGTATATTTTTCTTTTTACTTTTAATTAGAGTAAGTTTAGTTTAAATAATCCTCGTTAAAGTGATTAAATTAAATGACTTTGAGCTAAATGTGGCTGCACATTCTCATCCCTTAGAATATGAAGTACAGAATAAGTGTCACTTACCAAACATCAGACCGTTA